CCCCCCACGGCCCCAGCGCCGCCCCCAGCCCCCCAAAACCCGGCCCCCCCCCAGGCCGGACCCCCCCAGCCCAGCCAGGCCGGGGGGGGGGCCCTGCTGCGCCCCCAAAACCCGGGAGCCAACCCCCAACTGCGGAGCCTCCTGCTGAGCCAGCAGCCGGTGAGTGACCGAGCCCTCCCCGAAATAAAAATGGGTAAAAAGAGGGGATTAACACCCCAAAAAATGGGGATTTACACCCCAAAAATGGGGATTTATACCCCAAAAAATGGGGATTTATACCCCAAAAAATGGGGATTTATACCCCAAAGAATGGGGATTCTCACCCTAAAAAATGGGGATTTACACCCAAAAGAAATCACCCAAAAAATGGGGATTAACACCCCAAAAATCACCCAAAAAATGGGGATTTTCACCCCAAAAAACGGGGATTTACACCCCAAAAAATGGGGATTTATACCCCAAAAAATGGGGATTTATACCCCAAAAAATGGGGATTTTCACCCCAAAAAATGCGGATTTATACCCCAAAAAATGGGGATTTACACCCCAAAAAATGGGGATTTACACCCAAAAAATCACACTGAAAATGGGGATTTTCACCGCAAAAATCACCCAAAAAATGGGGATTTTCACCCCAAAAAATGGGGATTATCACCCCAAAAAATGGGGATTTATACCCCAAAAAAATGGGGATTTACACCCCAAAAAATGGGGATTATCACCCCAAAAAATGGGGATTTATACCCCAAAAAAAGGGGATTATCACCCCAAAAAATGGGGATTTATACCCCAAAAAATGGGGATTTATACCCCAAAAAATGGGGATTTATACCCCAAAAAATGGGGATTTATACCCCAAAGAATGGGGATTCTCACCCTAAAAAATGGGGATTTACACCCAAAAGAAATCACCCAAAAAATGGGGATTAACACCCCAAAAATCACCCAAAAAATGGGGATTTTCACCCCAAAAAACGGGGATTTACACCCCAAAAAATGGGGATTTATACCCCAAAAAATGGGGATTTATACCCCAAAAAATGGGGATTTTCACCCCAAAAAATGCGGATTTATACCCCAAAAAATGGGGATTTACACCCCAAAAAATCACACTGAAAATGGGGATTTTCACCGCAAAAATCACCCAAAAAATGGGGATTTTCACCCCAAAAAATGGGGATTATCACCCCAAAAAATGGGGATTTATACCCCAAAAAAATGGGGATTTACATCCCAAAAAATGGGAATTTCACCCCAAAAAATGGGGATTTACACCCCAAAAAATGGGGATTTTCACCCCAAAAAATGGGGATTATCACCCCAAAAAATGGGGATTATCACCCAAAAAATGGGGATTTACACCCCAAAAAATGCGGATTTACACCCCAAAAAATGGGGATTTACACCCAAAAAATGGAGTTTACACCCAAAAAAACCTGGGATTTGGGGAATTTTTGGGCTTTTCCCACAGGAATTTGGGGCCGGAATTTACGATTTTGGGGATGATCCCTAAAAACCTGGGATTTGGGGAATTTTTGGGCT